AAGTTCCCGAGCCGAGGCAAATTTGGTGATGACAAACACGTGGCCTTTGACACAAGTCAGGGTTTCCTAAATTTTTCCAAAACAAAAAATATTTAGGCGGCGACTCTATATCTGGCAAAACAGTCTAATTTTGGCACTTTTTGATTAAAAATCGATTTTCCAAAACGATTTGCCAGATTTAGACTCTTTGGTATTTCTCAGTTTCACATTGCACTTGTGAGACTAGATTCAGAACCACGAGAGTCCGAACTATGATGCCTTCTTTTCAAATCCTTTTCGAAAGACGGGGCGCGGAAAAAGGCGAGTCCACAAACCCGCATGCCGTAGGTACCAAATGTCCTTTGGGTTGGTAGCCTGAGAAGTGGGGGTTATAGGTAAATCATTTGAGAGTTATCGGATAGTACACAGCCTGGGAACTATTGAATGAGAAAAAGAATTTGTGTGAGTTGGAAACTAATTCATGCTTCAGGCTTAATTTTGTGAAAACGTAATGTGTGAGTTTCAAATAAAAGCATGATTTATTGGGGTAAAAATTGGTCTTACAATTGATAAATTACATTGAGAAATCATTTTCACTTTATACTATGAATAATATAATGATCACATGCATTAGGACTTCAAATTGAATACGTTAGTTGCATGTTTCTACTGAGCTTATTGCTCACCTTCTTGTTAACAAACATTTTTAGGTGTATGGTTGTAATCCAAAGCCATAAGGAGGCTTGGGGCTTTCTTGTTATTACTTGTGGTCGTTGAGCTATTTTTGTGCAAGGTCTTGGACCTCTTTTGTGTTGCAAGGCCGAACAAGCACTATTTGTTGAAGGGAAATGCCTCTTTTGTTCATGTAAGCCATTAGGACATTTTAAATTGGTTACGTATTTATGAACCACATTAACATATTATATATTTATTTGACAGAAGTAATGAAATTGAATATAGGAATGCATGCTAGATTTATTGACTGTGTCACTTGTTCTAAACTATTTATGATTAAAATGCTTGTTGTGGAGGTTGCATTAAGGATTGGTGTAACCCATTGTTGAACTTCAAATAGGAGGACGATTGTCTAGTCCCTTTAATTTACTTCATAATTGGGACTATTTGAGTGGTAGAACATCCTTGACAACCCTTGTTAACTTTTCAACTCTTTGACTATTTGACTTATTAGTGATCCTTTTTTTTTTTTTGGAGACTCTTCTTTATTTCTTGCATAAATTACACTAATTTCTCTTAAAGTTTTGAACCACACTTGTGACATAATTACAGTAATCTCCTTTAACATTTTAATTTATATGGCACTTAACTCATTTTTCATCAATATAATTTGTGAGTTATATGGATGAAAAAATTATATTGTTATCTCATTATATTGTCATCTCTTTTATTCAAAAATAAATATTTTACCTTGTATTAATTCATGTGGTTACCCACTACTTGTATTAATTTTAGTATCTTCAACTGTATTTAAAGGGAGATCAGTGTAATTATGTCAAAAGTGTGCTATTAATTGTATTTTTTTTAAATCTTAGGGAAAGTAAATGTAATTTGCCCCCTATTTCTTTAGTTATTCCGCCTTTCAATTATTCTTATCCTTTTACCCCTTGTGACATACTCAAGTCATGGGATTTAAGGCGTGATAGCAAAGGGATCTTATCAAGGATAACACTGGTAATGGGCATGGTTCCTACCGGAACATTCGAAGGGCAACTAGTATTTCCACAAAATTATGAACTCTCAAAGATTTTCTCAAATTAGCTATGGATCTCAATCTGACTCAACTGGATATAGAAATGGATACTCAATTTATGAAGCTACTCATTTTGGGAGAATTAAATGGTTACATTATTAACTTAGTAATCTCATTTTTTTACTACAAGAACCTCATGGACCAACTAGGAGAAACAACTTTGACCACGTATTTCAAGAAGCAAGCTCAGGTGCCGATGAGGAATGAAAGATTTCATATTTTTTTTCCTTTTCCTCGTGTTTAGATTGCTATAAGCTCCTACATAATAATGCTAGATTGATTAAATTAATATCCCAAACTGTTGTATTGTTAATCTTCTTTTATTTAGAGTTGTTTTTTTTTTTTTACCCAAAAATAAAAAATATATATATTTATGGAATTGAAAAACATATGTCAAAAAAGAATATGCATTTGTTAGAATATTTTTCTATTTGGACTTATATTGATTGTGTGTTATAGATTTGTTTAAAGTACATAGCCTATTATGAACATATGGTTGACACAATTTAAAGAATGTGATTAATATTGTTTATTAGACTAAGGTGCACATTAATTATATGGTTCTAGTGCTTATTTATAATTTGAAATGTTATGGGAAAAGTGAAGGACAATTCTTAGTTGAATAAGAATTTAATTAAAAGGGAATGTGTTATTGAAATGACAAAGAGTCAGTCACATTGATAGGCTTCTTAAATAGAGAAATAAAAAGATGATCTAAACTTTTCAAACATGCGGTGACACTTTTCTGCTTTGTTATAGCTTCCACATGTAGGCGATAAAGCGCTTTTGATTATTTTAGTTTTCATAACATGTGAGGGTGAAGGTGGATATTTACTTTTATTTTCATAACATGTATGAGTGTGGGTCGGTTGATTTAGATTAGGTTAAAGGGAAAAAATTATTAATCAAATCACTCTTAATGGATTGAGAATTTTTCAATTTTGTGGGCCTTTTTCACATATTTTTTTTTAGTTTCTTTTTTTTTATCTTTTTGTTTTTGGTTTTTTATTTTCTAATTTTCCCTTATACGGACAAAACTACAAGAATTTACATATTTGCCGATCACTTTTGCCGACCAAAAAAATTTTTGTCGCAAAAAAATAACATTTGCCGACCAAAAAATATTTTGTAGCTAAACGTTGATACTATTACCGACTAAAGTAATTTTGTTGCAAAAAGGTGATTTTTCGCGACCAATTTAAAATATTAGTCGCTAAAAATGATGTTTCTTTGTAGTTTGAACTGGTCTTGAAGTTATTGCTATAGAATTTGAAACCTTAACCGAAGATACTTGTAGTGGAACAGACTTTTCTGTATTTCTGAAATATGGATAACCATATCTAAATTTTGAAAAATGCCTAAAAAATTTATGTTCCAACGGACAATTATGAAAACACATTGTGGTTGAGTCTTAACTTTCTGATATGAATGGCATTGATGTCTTCTATAATTTCTTCCTTGAATTTGATCATGTTGGTTTGAATTATTGCAAGTGCTTCTGTTGTCATGACAACATTGTCAAGGCAGTTCAGTAGATAACAGCTGTTTGTGGGGGCATAAAAAGGATATGGTCCTCTTCCCGTCAGTTTTTGAAACTGAGTGTATGTTGTATGCACATATTGTCAAATTGCCATCTGGTCTTCAATTAGCTATGTTCAATGTAAGTCGATAATATAGTCAAATTGATAACACGCTGATTGATAAATTTGAAATGCTCTTCCAATATCTTATGTTCAAAATGGGTCATATTATTACTATGCCATCTCATTGATTAAGGCCACAAGTTGAAGAATTCCATATGGATAGTTTGATCTGTGTTATCTAGGGTTCAATTGAGTCTGCACTCATGCAATGATTATTACTTATTTGGATGAGCAATATGTACTGAATTTCATTTTAAACATGTTCTCTATCAGGAAACCATTGATCAGGTTGGGGGCCAATATGCCCGCAAGGGCAGAGCGGATGACTCGGAGGAGTGACTTTGATCAGTATTCCCCCGGTGGATTTAGCAATTTGACCCCTTCACGCAGTGGCGAAACCTACGAAGTAGTTCTCTACTTTGGGATCATAGACATTTTGCAAGACTACGACATTAGTAAGAAGCTAGAGCACGCATACAAATCCTTACAAGCTGACCCTTCCTCAATCTCAGCTGTCGATCCAAAGCTCTACTCAAAGAGGTTCCGGGATTTCATAGGGCGAATCTTCGTAGAAGACACTAAATTTGTTTTATCTTCATCTGGGTACTGTGTAATTATAAGCAAGAAGCTTATTATTAAATTTAAAATAGTTTTTTGGCTATGTCGATCTTTGCATCTTTAAATAAGCAAGATCGACTAGTATAAAATGTTTGTATTACCATATATAAATATGACATATATATAGAAACAGGAGGGAAAAGCTCTATGTTTGCCTCCAAGTAATCACAAGCAATCAGCTGTGATTGAACTTCTTGTCTTTGTAAATTTGCAACAACTTGAGTGGCATCTTTACGGGCCTGCAAAATTTGAACATTGATATGATAAATAAGATTGAATATAGGGTCAAAATAAAGAGAAACATTACTGTGATAAATATTGTTGTGGTATAGAAAACTAGAGAAAGACATGAAGCACTAAATCTGACAATTAAATTGAGCAGACGAAGTCCATTTATAGCACTCAATAAGAAAATCAGCTCAATTTTGGAAGACATAATTAATAGACATAGTGTGTTCTCTCTACGACAACAAAACTTCTCAACAGTATAAATGCATCTTCACTTCATTAAATGTTGGGCAGCCTGCAAGCAATAATAATATTGTAAATCAATTTACATCAATCTAATTTCAATCGATTTCACCATAAAAAATATATATTTTATATAGAAAAGAAAAGAAAAGAAAAGAAAAGGCTCACTCGTTCTATGAGCCCTTGTGCCCGCTCTCCATTTCTTGGAACACTCGCTAATTGACCAGCACAACCCTTCCATTGCCTTCATAAATTTTTCCAATCAGAACCAAAGAAAGTAAACATTTTATTTTTGGAAAATAGAAAATAGAGAAGAAAAAATCCTTTGTTGCAAACAAATGGGAAAATAAAAAAATAAAAAAGATTAAAAATTATAATTTAGGTAATCTAAACAATGCTAATGTTTAAATTATAGTCAAAATTGTTACAAAATGCGTACTCAATGTACTCACTCCACATAATAATTATCACCATCAAAGATGATGTACTCACTCTCCTTGGCTCTTGCTACAACCTGTGAAAAACACAAATTGAACCTAGCACAAGCCATTATTACACTGGAGTAATGTTGCCTCCGCGTTGAGGAAGTATAAAACCAGAACCACACCTACCTACCTTAAATATGATATGAGTTAATCTCATGGTTGCCAAATCCAAATATCAGCTTGACTCTTACTTAATGAATTTTTAAATATGATCATATAAGTGCAACAAATCACTTGAAATTTTTCAGTGTAAATAACTAGATAAAGCAGACCCACTAAATATGTAAATACCTGCTGTTTGGTAGCCTGAGAAAACTGATGTGACATCAGATTTTGATTTGAAGGTTGAATCAACTGAAATTGTTGTTGAAGCTCAGAGAAAGCCTGCTGAGATGAATGAAAGCTTGCCTGTAGTGTTTGCTTCTGTTGTGACAGCATCTGAGCAAACTGAGAAGCTGATTGTTGGAGTGGAAGCTGCTGTTCATTTGCTGCGGCAGATGGATGATGTGGATGTAAGTTAGTATTCATTGGGGTTTGTTGTGCAGATGAGGCATTCTGCTGGACCTGAGGCTGAGAAACAAATAACTGTCCACCCAAACCAAGCAATGCATGACTGAAGGGGGTTTGACCCGCAGACTGAGGAATTTGTAGTTGACCATGTTGCTGGAGTGGCATCTGTGTTTGCATGTAAGATTGTAACTCTTGTGGTGATTGAAGTGGCCTTTGCAATTGTGATATTTGCTGCTGCCCAATTGAGGGAACTTGTGGCAAAGACTGGTCAAAGCTCTGGAAAACAATTCAGAGAGAAAAATGGATTTAAAGTTGTCACAAAAGGACTAGCGAACCACATGAAGGTATCAACAATCAATGGGCATATACCTGCTGTGATGTAGAAGATGAAACTGCACGTCCAGAAAGCACAACATCTGCAGAGCCATCATGTACGCCAAGAGGACCACCCTAGAATATTTCCAAGCATAAGAAGTTGAAAATCCTTAATCTCAGATGAAAAGAATAATGAAAAGACCATGTAAAAATAAGTACTCCATCCCATTCATTTTGTCCACTTCTCCATTTTGGGATGTCCTAAAATGGTAATTTGAAAAGCCTGGATATGTATTGCTATGATTTTACAATATCATCCTGTTTTAAATGAGTGAATGCATTTAATATGGTAAAACAAACGAAACCAAACCAGACTAAGACTTGTGTCCCAATCAAGTGGAGCTAGCTACATAAATCCTTTTTTGCCATTTAATAGAGTAAAGCAGAGGGATAATTTTGATCCTTTTCTTTTTTTGATCACCAGAGGTATAATTGGAAACTTCATTCAGACTATATTAGTTAAGTGTGAACACATTTAAAACGAATTTGGAATTTCCATTAAAAAAAATTAAAATTAAAAAAAAAAGGACATACAGAGTAAATTTTATAAAAAATAAAACAATAAAAAAATAAGAAGAAGCACACATGCAGCTTTTATATTAGCTGACTGAACACAGGAAAACACATTTACAGAGCTACAAAATCAAAAATCTATAACCCTTCAGCAGAGCTCATGCTTACTGCAGGCTAATGTAATATTCATAATTTGAATAGAAAAACAAACATGGTCTAGTTACACAGGGAAGGAGCTTATGCTTACTGCAGGATTATGTAGTATCATAATTTGAACAGCGAAGCAAACATGGTCTACTTACATACGGAGGTTATTTATAGCAGAAATATATCATTTATTTACCTACAGAAACCTAATTATATAGTTCGTGGTAATTTTATTTTTACTTTTTTTTGGATAAATATATAGTTCATGGTAATATGCTAGCATTACAAATATTATTCCTTGAAATAAAAGGACACAAATTAAATTAAAGTAACCACAACTTTTCCATACCAGAGTAGAAGGCATTGCCATATCCCCAGACCGAGGAAGAAACTGGCTCCCAAAACCTTGTACACCAGGGTTTGAAAATGGCCCCATATTTAGAGGACTCATGAAATGCCAAGAATCGGATGGTTTGTGACCATGCATAGGCTCACCAAGATTTGGTGTTGGTCTGCAAGAGTAACAATACAATAAAATAAGTTCATGAGAAAAATTAAAAGAAAAAAATCAAAAGTGAATAAGATGGGAACAAGAGAAATAAAACGATAATATGGCAACGAGCTTCATCCTTTAGTTATCAAATAAATTACCGATCTTCTGGTGGTGGGAACCGTGGACCAAAACCTGGACCCCCAAATGCAGGACTAGCCCTGCGAAATAAAACAAATTAAGTTGACACAGTATACTAAGAAGTAAGAATACAAAGAAGGGATACAAATACCACATGATAAAACCAAACTGTCATGCCAATTTCAAAAGATCTAGACAAGAACAAAGTGGAACAAGGCAGCAAGTAAACATCCTTTCACATATATTCACTTTTATGTACAAACAGATATATACATATCATAGGAAGATAATAGAAAAACATTAATTACTATATTTATATGTTGGACAAGAAATTTGAACAAAAAGCCACTGGTCCTAAATCTCTTACTTTAAGTTCCTAGTATTCATAAATAAATTGGAAGTTGTTAGGATTTAGGGTTCCAAAGATAAAAATCCCAAAGAAGGGATTAATGGATTGAAGTTCATATTTGTTTTGATTTTAAAATCAAGTTGCAATGCAAGTACTCTGATACCTGCTTCTCACAAACAACAGTATATCTTAGTAATGTTCTACTTAAAACACAGGACCCAATATCCATGTTTCATAGATGAAGAGTATGATATACTAATAAAAAGCAATAATGATGAAGGACAAGAGAAAAACCTTGGGTCTCCAGCTCTAGGCCTCTTAGGATCAGCAAACCGAACAATTAATGGTTGATCACACCCCTAAGATGCAAAAGGAGAAGATAAATGATTAGTGTTTGGTAACATTAAATAGAGAACATATCACTGTTGAAATAGCAAAATAAGCTTACTTTCATTGTATATATTCCATTAAGCGCATTAATAGCTGCCATCGCCATTTCTCTATGAAAATATTTAACAAATCCACACCCTTCAAAACAGTTGGACATATAACTGAGAAGCAGTGGAACATGATAACAATAACTGTAGCATACATCTCAATAAGGATTAGAAAGAAACACTTGGATCAGCACACACAAAAATTATAAATCCTGAGAAGCTTTATACATAAATGACCCAATATCTAAACTAAAGTAAGTGGAATGGGAGAGACTTAACTAAATATTTTTCACACGGGCACGCAAACCGAGAAAATGCAAGAATGCAATAAAAATGAGATGCCTCGAAATGCGTGCACACGGGCACGCAAATCGAGAAAATGACAGAATGCAATCTAGGATACAGCCTAGTATGTATTATGCTATGAAAATGAGGTGCCTCGAAATGCGTACACACGGGCACGCAAACCGAGAAAATGCAAGAATGCAATAAAAATGAGATGCCTCGAAATGCGTGCACACGGGCACGCAAACCGAGGCGATGGCGGAATGCAATGAGACGCCTTGAAATGCGTGCACACGGGCACGCAAACCGAGGCAATGGCAAAATGCTATGAAATGACATGGAAACATGATATGGGCTTATACCAACATGAGTGAGCCTCAGCCACACTCACATAGGATGCCGGCGGATAAAAAAGAGGCGCCTCGAAATACGTGCACACGGGCACGCAAACCGAGGTAGTGGCAAAATGCGATGAAATGACATGGAAACATGATGCAATCATTCTAATGGAATTTCAGCACTAAAATATGGGGGAAAACAGTCCCGAAATGAGGCGAAATGACATGAAATGCAAGGAATTGTCCCGAAATGCGAATTTGGGCACCCAAAATGGCCTATAGCTATGCCAAACATGCACAACATGGACATGTAATGCAAAGACAGAAGCTAGACAGTCCCAAAAAAGGCACTTTCACAGTTATAAACATGGCCATGATATCAATTTTTGAAAACATTGTGAGTTCTTATTCTGGTTTATTAGCCTAGGTTACTATGTGATGCGCACAGCATACAAGTATAAACTGGGTCACCCGAATTGGAACAAAACATTTCATGCTTGTTTATTTGAAAGATGGTTTGCTACTCGCAAGTAGGCTTAAAATGCAGATTTTGCCACCCACTGGAGTTATGTATGGATGCTTGAAGGGTGAAATTTTTCTAACCCCAAAATCTACAAGGCTTGCTTGCTATACAGGCAACAAGGGGGTGTAATGGTGGGGGAAAAGGAGAGTAATGTTCCCCACGAAAATCCCCCAGATAAAAGATCTTTTCTGGGGGATAAAGCTCCACAGCTGTAAAGGGAACAGTGCAAGGAATACGGCGGCCTGGTACTTTTGTTGCAAGTGGCCGCCGGCCACACCCCTAGCCGGCCGGCTAGGGTCAAAGGTTCAATGAGATTTTCTGGCCGGCCACCAACTGATGGTGTTCTCCTATGTGTGTACAACACAACCATGTGGTTTAAAATTCCAAGAAAGTGGTCCAAGGGGTTCAACATTGCCCGGAAGGAGGGGGTCAAAAGGGTCAAGTTGAATTAATGGCCGGCCATGAACTTTTAGGGTCCTCCTCATGTTGTGTACATCACAAATATGTGGTTCAAAGTTCAAGAAAAAGGGTCCAAGGGGTTCACATTAGCCCGGAAGGGGGGTCAAAAGGGTCAAGTTGAATTAATGGCGGCATGACTTTTAGGTCCTTCTCATGTGTGTACATCACAAAATATGTGGTTCAAAGTTCAGAAAAGGGTCCAAGGGGTTCAACATTGGCCCGGAAGGAGGGGTCAAAAGGGTCAAGTGAATTAAATGGCCGGCCATGAACTTTTTAGGGTCCTCTCATGTGTAACATCACAAATAATTGGTTCAAGTTCAAGAAAAAGGTCCAAGGGGTTCAACATTAGCCCGGAAGTGCGAAAAACGGGCGCCGGAGGGCGTCGGAGGATGTATAACTGGTTGCTGCAACAATTGCTGGCCTCCCACCCTTCAGTGACCTCCGGTGATAAAACAGAGGTACCTTCCAAAATGAACGAAAACCGTTGCAAAACGAATGCTCGGGACCAAAACACGCAGTTCGGGGTTCCAAATGGGCTGTTAAGCACCGAAAGTGGCATTCGGCCACGAGTGGGCTTCAGCCCCGAGTGTCCCTCAAAAGGGACAAATAGGAAGTATGCCAAAATTAGAGCAATAGGAGATGGTTAAGCGATCCCGAATCGAGGCACACGGCCTGACGGCTCCGAAAACCGGAAACCGGACTCCGAAATGGGAAAATTGGCCTACGGCCACCAAATGTAGCCTACGGATTTGAGAGATGGTCTAATGGACCTCTCCCTCCCTCAAGAAAGAAACAGAGAAAACCGAGTTAGTTCGCAAGACACCGAAGAC